CAATTAAGTAATTGGCGTTGGTGAAACTGAACCAAACGGTTTTTTATCAGAAGCTCGCACTTTCAGCCCATTTTCTACCTTTTTTAAAAAGGTAAATTTTTTAGTTTTTTTACGTGGTCTTTTATACAAATGATACATGTCATTAGAATTAAGTAAGTATAAGTATATTTCACTGGTTAATTAAATTTAAAAATCCCACCGCCACCCCCATCGTTCAAATATATATAATTTAGTAATATAGTTTTAATAAAATAGTATCAAAACGATGATCGTCTGTATGTAAATAAATTATTATCTTTTCAATAAGAACTACATGGGTTTTACTATTTAATTTAGTAGAATAATCACCACATGGTTTTTTAATACCAGGTTTACCCTATCATTCTTTGTTAAACTTCCGTATAGCCCGGTCATATTAGGGGTCAACCTCGGAATGAAAGATAATAAGCTGTAAATTGGTATAAACCTTTGTTTTGTCGTTGTAAATGTTGTCTCAAAAGTCACAAGTGCTATCGTGTCCGCGTCTTAAGATATTGAAGGTCAAAGGTCATAAAAATCGGTTTTTCGCGAATATCTCGCTTTCTATTGCTTAAATGAGATTTGCACCTATTATAAAAGTTGTAGAGTATAAAATTCTCTACAACTTTTGTTTGAACTTTTTTTTCATACGATCAACCTTTTTTGCGGTAGACCGCGAAGAGTGCGCCGCGTACAGTCATATATGGCCTAATGCAAGGTCAAGCGTGAGTTGCGGTTATCAGTACGTTGTATAAAGTTAATTATTTACTAAAAAATTATAATTATTAAACAATGCCCATTATTTATGTACTAATTATTAATTATTTATATTTAATTAAAATAAGTGACTTAATTATTTATATTTAATTATTTATATTTAACTATTTAACTATAGTATATTATTAATTTTGGAATGTATATTTTAGTTATATTTTAAGTTAAAACGACATTATATACGTTTTCTTTAAAACGTGTAAATTTTGTAATACTTACGAGGTCTGGCTATTAAATAACGAGACTGCGCGCGCAGAAGGCGTCCTAGAGGAGTAGGGTGGGAAACGAATGCAGCGTTGGATAGCTGGAAATGTCTCGTTATTTAATAGCCAGACCTCGTATATACCTGGAAATACTTGTCCCTACCCTACGACCTTTTCTATTTATAGCCGGGGCAGATTTTCTATTGTATTCCAGGCCACTTTCTCTTTTAAGGGACCATTTTGTATTAGTCAAGATTATTCGTTAGTTTGAAATTGTATCTTCGCAACGACGGACGTACGGTTTTAAGAGCTATGGCTGATTTGTGTTTTATATGTTATAAGTCACTTTCAGAAGGTGTTTCTGTGAATGTCGCACGTGGTTTACAAACTTTAAAAACTGCAAGTATTGAAAGGAATGATGGACATATCGATGGCTGAGACGAAGAACCAGCCATCTCAGATTTGAGACCAAGAACCGGACAACTCGGTTTTGGGGTGAAGAATCAGCCATTTCGGCAGTTGTGACGAAGAACCAGACAGTTCAAAAGTTTGCGACGAAGAACCAGACAATTCGGAGGTTGCGATGAAAAAGCAGACATTTCAAAAGTTCGCGACGAAGAACCAGACAATTCGGAGGTTGCGACGAAAAAGCAGACATTTCAAAAGTTCGCGACGAAGAACCAGACATTTAAAAAGTTGCTACGATATACGTAATCTTTGACCTTCAATATCTTAAGACACGGACACGATAGCACTTGTGACTTTTGAGACAACATTTACAACGACAAAACAAAGGTTTATACCAATTTACAGCTTATTATCTTTCATTCCGAGGTTGACCCCTTTTTTTACCTAATATGACTGGGCTAGTACTCGACACACGTGCTCCGCACGCACTGCGTTCCGCTGAGCGACCGCCGCTTTAATCATTGTATCAACGCGATTCTACCGCGAGGTGATTCCTTACAATAAAGTGACCACCTTTCAATCCTTCGGATTACTGTTCATAGCTTTCCCAGCCTTGATCCGTGCAAACCACGGATGCCCTCTGTGCGAAAGTTGATGAGACGGAAGAAGGAGTGCGAAAAAATAAAGAAAGGAAGAAATAGAATTAATTGCCTTTATTCTATTTACACAAGAAATTTCGTACGACGAACGTAGGCCAGCGTCAGGCCGAAAATCACGCGCGTTTACCAGTGACTTTTTACAGAGAAGTCTAAGAGACGACTGCCCACAGCGTCTCGGTGCGCTCGGTAAGACTCACCCTCGAAATCCAGAAACTTCTTTTCCGTTAAAATGATTTCTCTTTGTTGGAAAGGACGAACAATAATAATAATGAAGCTTCTAGAATTCGAGAGGTTGAAATTAAAAGTATTATCAACACCGCTCATACTTTGAAATTATAGGCTGGAGCGGCATACGCTAACAGCCCATAATTGGCAGATAGATTTCACGTTGAGTGCGCTGTGAGCGCAACCACTCTGCAGCGCAATTGGCGGGACGCGTCCACGGAAAGCGCGCCGATTTCCAAACACCTTCTAAACCTGACATTCCGGCGGTTTCCTCGTAATCTCTATTACCGCCTTACACATACAAAATTGCTATCTTTAGAATAAGATAAGAACAAATAAACAAAAATGAAACAAAATATATTTTATTCTTAAACTACATCATAAAAAGTTAAAGAATTAAAAAGTTAAAGCTGAATTTTAATGTGAAAAATCGCATTAAATACGCCATATCCCAATATGGTGAGCTAGGGTTAAAAAATATTACATATTATAGAAAATACTCAAATTGGCGTCCCTCAGCAGTCTGATAATGTGCTAGACGATTATAAAGACTTAAGACTGCATTTCTACAGAATTCGCGAGACATTATTCTAAATTCATATATTATTCGTTGACGTAAATCATTAAGATTTTGAGGAAATAGAGATACAGACATTCGCGGGTACATACATGACTCATAAATCCAGTCGGGCAATCTCTACGTAATACCTTAGATAATGCTAATGTCGACGATTCCGTAACTTTTAACTTTCATAACTTGAAAAGTACTGAAAAGAGGCTTTATTATAATGTTTTGGAAAGCCCCTTCAGGTATTAGATTCTAGAATCAAAAATAGGGTGTTTTGTTTAAAAAAATCGATTTGACCTTGACTTGACCTTGGTGGCACCATCCAAGGTCAAATTGATAAGGTCAGTCAATAGATCATTTTTAATCAACCCTACATTTTTAATCAACACTTTTTAAAAACCCTACATCTTTTGTATAAAACATTTTTCTCAAAAATGATTACTTTCAAAATATTTAAGGGACCCGAGACTTTTTATATACCCTGTGTATATATATATATATATATACAATATACAGGGAGAGGCATTTAAAACAGGTGACCTGAATAACTCGCTTGTTTTTGACAATAGAAGAAAAAGTGTCAAACAAAAGTTGCTTGGTTTCGAGGTGCACATAATGTGATGTCAATAATTGTTTTTTTGGTGGAGGCGCTAAAAAGATATGAAGGTCACCTCCACTTTTTTAAATAGAATTATGTAATTTTTTTTTTAGATAAAGTGATTCCTCTAATTATTTTGCATATAAAAGTATTAAGGTAGAGATATCAAAAAACCAATAGTTTTCGAGATATTTTACACTTTATTTTGATACATATTGACACAAAATGTTAAATAACTCGTAAACTGTTGACTTTTTGATTATCGTACCTTAATACTTTTGTGAACAGAATAATGAGATAAATCAAATGGTGTAAAGAAAACACATAGTTGCTTTAAAAAATATATGTATACAAAATGGATAATTTTTTAAATACGGAACTATGTGTTTTCTTTACACCATTTGATTTATCTCATTATTCTGTTCACAAAAGTATTAAGGTACGATAATCAAAAAGTCAACAGTTTACGAGTTATTTAACATTTTGTGTCAAAAGGTGACCAATACATGTTCCCCTCCGAACCAAACAATTTCTTCCTTAGATATTTTTGAAATTTGTTAGATTAATTGTCAATTTAACTAAAGTGATATTACTGCGGTAGTCAATACGTATGCGTCAATGCTGAAAATCCATCAGCGTCGCGAGAAGAACTACATACGCGGTACATAAATTCACACAATTATAATTAACACTAACATCCTGTTACAATGACTCGAGTAGGCATTTTCACTCCCTATGATTCTTAGACATTTTCGCGTATCATTAACGGTAACAGAGATATTGCCTTGTAACAGAGTTACTGGGATACCCTGTATATATACATATACACATATGCACTTATTTTATTTTCATAATAGCAATTATCCACCCATTATAACTAACATTAATTTGTAAATTTTCGCAATTATTATAGGCAAAATATTTTTTACTTTACTACTGGTATCTTTTATTGTTATATAAAAAAAGGATTAAACGATCTATGGAAGATTGACTACCACGAAAAGTACACAAAATAATAATTTTAATGGTACAATAAAAATTACATATTTATGTACTTAAACATAATAGTTATTGAAATTCATTGGAAAAAAATAATTACAAAATGTTTAAGTAAACATGAGGACTGTTCTTTGAAGCTGAACTAGCATACACTCGTTCTACAATATTTGAAATGAAATTATATAGAATGCAGTGCAGCACCAAAAAACAAGTCTACAGTTTATTCTACTTACTATTGTAATCGCTTATACTATTTTTCTTATACATGCAGTCTTATTTGTTTATACTTTATATTACACGGCTACTGATTTATATGTATTACACACGGAATTAGAGCCATGGCGTATGAAAAACTTGAGTAAAATGTAAATAAATATAAGAGAATTGACCAATCACAGTAAAGATCGTAAGCAGCAGCAAATCCAACATATTGATTTCCTACTGTTTAAATCATATTACTTGAGTTTTTCTGTGCCATAGCTTTTACATTTTATTTAAAAAAATCCTTTGTTAACATAGTCAACACACAATGACAGTACATGTTAAAATGAATTTATTCAATTTTTTAAGAAGTCAATATCACTCGTCATATTCTCCAATTCGCTGAACATTTGGTCAAGATGCTGAAATAAAAAAAAGATATGAGACGTAAAAAGAGTGTAAAAATGGCCAAAATTGGCTTTAAATGGACACCTTTAAAACCTATGCAGTTGTCATTTAGAAATTCCGTAGATTCATGGAAAAATACTTATTTATCCAGGAAAGCTAGGGAAATCTTCCAAAAATAATAAAATAATTCGTTTAAACGTTCTGCAAAGAAACTCATTTTGTTTCTAACAAACAATGATAGATTTCAAAATTAATGATATGTTTACATGTAACACATGTTGGATCATGAAATACTATAAGAATACATTACCAGGAAGATCTACAAATATATACAATAAACAGAGTCTTCAAAAAGTCCGGAAATGCTAAAATATTACGAAAACAATCAACTCTAGCGAAAAATATGTAAGAGAAAAATTGTAGGACTTTAAAAAATCTACCAAACTGATGATAAGAATTTGACCTTTGATAATTGTATGGATCAAATAATTGCACAGCAGCTTATTTGGATAAGATATACAGGCTTTATTTAAACAACACAAAAGTACGGTCTTTTAGAAACCGCAAGCTCTCAGCTTTAGAAAATATAAATATAAGAAAGCCAACTCACTTTTAGTTAACAGAACAGAATAGAACAGTAGTGAGAGGCGCTGTAGGTATAGAGAGGAAACCTAACAACAAAAATGTTACTATAGACGAATTGTCTTTCTCAACACTTCCCTTCAATTCGTACAAAAAAAAACAAAAAATTATTTATCAAGACACATAGTGTTAAAATTGTTGCTTAGCTTTACTTAATGTTTATTCCATGTTTTAACAATACTTTAATTTTAATAAACCTCTTAATTTTTCAAATTTAGTTTGTACTAAACCTTTCGTTAATGTATCTGCCTTTTGTTCCTCTGCTCTGAATATAAATGACTTTAATAATACCATCTGTGTACAGGTCTCTTACGTAATGATATTTTATGTCAAAATGTTTGAGACGTTTGTGTTCCCACTTGCTCAAAGTATGTATGCAGGATTGGTTATCTTCGTAGATTGTAACAGGTTCGTTTATAATCCAGCCAAGTTTTTGTAGTATGTTCCTGATCCATACTACCTCGGTAGAAGAAGTGGCTAATGCCACGTACTCAGTTTCCGTAGACGACAGTGCAACGGTTGGCTGTTTCTTAGTGACCCAACTCACAGGATTTTCTTTCACCTCGATTAAGAAACCAGTTGTAGATTTTCGGTTAGGATCTCCTCCCCAATCGGCATCAGCATAGGCAACAATTTCAGGTCCTTTTAGTTATTCCTTTCAGATACCTCAAAATTCGTTTCAGTCCTTTCCAGTGTACCGGACTTGGAGATTCTTGAAATCGACTGTGGTAATTTACTGCAGCACTTATATCAGGCCTTGTATTAATCATTATATACAGTAAACAGTCTAGTAGTTCTCGGTACGATCGCTTCTCATTTTTCTCTTCGATTGAGTTAGTATTGATTTCCATTTTATTAGTTTCTCCATAGGCGTCTTGACAGGTTTACTATCCTCCATCCCAAATCGCTTCAGCATATTTAAGATATATATGGATTGATTTAAGTTTATGCTATGTTCGTGTCTGGTTATGATGATCCCGAGGAATTTTTTTAATGATCCGAGGTCCTTCATTTAAAAAAACGCTTTTCTAACAATCGTTTGATTTTATTTAGCCGATCCCTATTATTTCCAGCAATTAAAATATCATCAACGTACAACAACAAATAAGATTTTATCTCTCCATGCAACTTGACCCTTATGAAAAATACACTGAAATTTTTTGTGTTAACCGTCAATTTCGGTGTTAGTTTAGGATTTACCCTCAATTTTGGTGTCATTTCGAGTGTTACATTCAAATACTTGGGTGTGATTTTCATTTTGGGTATCATTTTCGGTGTTACTATCAAATGATTGAGTGTTGATTGGGTGTGACCATTAACTTAGGTGTATTAGTTAAGTGTAACTGATGTTACCATCAAATAATTGAGTGTCGATTGGGTGTGATCATTATGCGTATTCGGACACAAAGCTTTGAATATACGAGATGTCGATGCAATATTTGTGTGTCGTGACGCATAATCGACACTATAATCCAGTTAGAATTAAATTACATCAGTGTCGAAAATATTTATTGACATCGAAATCGATGATCGTAAAATTATGTAATGCAGTAATACATTTCTGCGCACTTGCGGAAATGATTTTAATACGAATTTGAATAAAATAAGAAATCGATTTTAATCAATTATTTGTTATTTGTGAATTTTATTATTTGATGTATCATTTTATCCTATAATATTCGATGAAAAACAGGGATAAAATGATACGTCATGCGTATTACACTTGCGGAAATGATACATACACTAATACATATATTAATACATACACTATCATATAAACACGTAAACCATTTGTTTTTAATATTTCCATTGAACAGATATATCACAATTATACAGACGTTGACATATACAGATTCGTGGATCATCGAAGTACAGCAGTTTCCGTACGATTGTCAAGGTCAAGCATGCGAAGTCGTGGTACAACTTTGGATGGGTGACCGACCGTTTGGGAAGCATCATGAAAAAAAATTAATTCTCGAATTTAGAGGAAAATTTTTTTTTCGCGATTTTATTCTAAAATTGATGATAATTATTAATACTTACTTTAACGAATTGATACCATTTGGGTGATAACTACACTATAATTTTTTGGCGTTTTTTTGGTGTTTTTTTGGCCGGTTAACTCCCAAATTGTGTAAACGCCGTTTGGGTATCCGAAATTACGCTATTCTTCTTTGGTGTTTTTATTGGTGTTTTTTTTTAGTGTTTTTTTCGTAAGGGGAAAAACAGACATTGATCATGTTTTGATTGTTTCAAACCGATTTCCTTTACATAGTCTCTAAAAACTGAATTCTAAGCTCGTGGTGATTGTTTTAGGCCATACAGCGTTTTATTTAATTTACACACACGCATTGTTCCATCATTGCACCCTTCAGGTTGTTTTAGATATATTTCTACAGTAAATTTTCCACGAAGAAATGCATTCTTCACATCAAGTTGATCAGCATAGAGATTTTCATTAATAATTATTGACAATAATATTCTTACTGTTGTCATTCTTGCTACTGGCGCGTATATTTCGTCATAGTCGAAACCTCTTCTCTGTAGGCAACCTTTCGCTACGAGGCGTGCTTTATATTTCTGTGCGTTTCCTTGTTCGTCATACTTGATCTTGAAAATCCACTTGCTATCTAGAGCTTTCTTTCCTCTTGGCAGCTGTACAAGTTTCTATGTTTAACTTTCTTTAATTGCTTTTAGTTCTTCGTTTACTGCTTCATACCATTTCTCTCTGTCTGCATGAGTGTCAATTTCAGAGTAGTCCATTGGTACATCATCAACACAACTTTCAGCGTATAATGCTAACGTACAATAATCTTTCAGATAATCTGACTTATATTTCTCACGTGTACTACGTCGAGGAACTTTCGATCGTTCTTGAGTATTCTTAGAGTCAGTTAAAATTTCTTCTATTGATGAATCTGATCTTCGTGTTTCATTTTCATCTTTAGCGGATTCGAAGTCTTCTTCCGAATCATCAATAATATTATCGTCAAGGTCAGATTCTTCTCTGACATCTGTTTCCACAAATGACTGAGTGTGTTTGAACTTGGTTTCTTCAAATACTACATCTCGTCCAGTAACTATTCGTTGCTTTTCTTGACTCCATAGTCGATAGCCATTCTCAGTATATCCTAACATAATGCATTTTTCCGTACGGGAATCAAATTTCCTTGGATTTACTTCTTTTGGTACATGTAAAAAGGCAATGCAGCCAAACACCTTCAGTTTTCTTACGTCTGGTCTTTTTCCGTACCAAAGTTCTGCAGGAACTACACCTTCCAATGCATTTGTTGGACTTCTATTGATTATGTAAACGGTAGCTAAGACTGCTTCTGACCAAAAACTCTTGCTCATTTAAGAGTGAATTATCATACACCTTGCCTTATCAAGAACAGTTCTATTAAAACGTTCAGCAACACCATTGTGTTGGGGTGTATAACGTATAGTATATTCTATATGAATTCCTTTTTTTTGGAAGCACTTAGCCATCTCATTTGAGGTATACTCTCAACCGTTGTATCGAAATCTACTTATCTTCAAATTAAAATGTGCTGTAACAAGAGCTTCATAGATTTTAAAATAGTAGAATACTTCACTTTTACTTTTTAAAAGATAGACAATCGTAAAATGCGTATAGTCATCGATGAAAGTAAGTATATATCTATTACCTTCTCGTGACTCTGGGGTAATTGGTCCCACTAGGTCGCTATGTACTAGCTGAAGGGGTCGCTTAGCTCTTGTTCTTTCTTTAATGTGAGGTAATTTTGTTTGCTTACCCTGCACGTATGACAAATTTCCGGATTTATTCCATCTACCATTTTTACAACTCTTTTAAGGTTGTCTAGACCTGTATGTCCAAATCGACTGTGCCAGATTTCAGCATCTTCCTTTACATTGCAGCGCAAAGACGTCCTAGTTGACTGAATGTTTTGACTTCATACACTCGATGATGCCTTGGTGCTTCTGCAAAAACTTGATTACCTTTTAATACCTTTCCTTTTCCTTTTTCAAACACAACTTTAAAACCATTAGCTTCTAGTTTTGCTACAGACAATAAATTGAATTCTAATCCTGGCACAAATAGAACATCATTAATTGTGACATTAATTTCTTTTTCGTCAACAATATTATTACAAGAAACAGTACCAACCTTATTTGCCGTTATAATCATACCAGCCTTTGCAATATGAATTTTTAGGTTCAGTCAGTTCTCTTATATTTTGCAGTAAATTTATGTTTTTTGTTAAATGTTCAGAGGCTCCGACATCGAGAATCCACGCTGTATTATTCTCTTTTCTATCATTAGTACTTACTGCAGCAAAGCTAACTGTATTTGATTCAGTGGTGTCTGCAACCACATTTGCTTGTTTTT